TAATTATAAAAACAATTGATCAACCTTTGGATGATCCATAAATGATTTATACTAATAAATTTTAATATATGCATAAACTAACAATAATATTATTTAACATTCATATTGAATTAAATCATCGTTAATTTGAAATTAAATAAATTTAAAAATTTAGCCACTTTAATGAGAAATAAATTTATCAAACACTTAATTCTCATTTAAATATCCTATATTTAAATAGATATAAGGGGACAAAAAACTATAAATTACTAGGTTTTCTATCTTAAATTGAACATTTTTTATCATTATTATTTTGCTAGGTATATTTTTGTTTTCTGAAAAATTTAATAAATATTTGTAGCGGGAAATACCACTAATTTCCTTATCCAGTTAAGGAAGGGTATTGAGATTTTGAAAAGAAAAGAGAAGCTTGGCGTTTCCCTGAATCCGTATAAAATGAGCAGAGCGGAGTGCAAAGAAAAGAGTCTTTGATCATTCTCTCTCTCTCTGGACTCTGCTCATCGATTCTTTGGATCAAAAGATGAATCCAAATCAACTGGCCGTCCTTGTGTACCGCTATCTCTCGCTCAACAAGTTTTTCTCATCACGCACCCACTTTCTTAAAGAGGCTAACCCTCTCATTGCTAATGCCATAATCAACAAAGAGGTATTTTTTGTATCAAAGCTTCTTTAATTTACTTTCTTAAGACTTTATTTTACTAATTGTTTTTCTTTTAGGTGCCATCGAGTGTGATGAGTTTGGCAGAGATGATGGATGAGTATGTATCCTTGAAGAAGCAAATGTTGTTGCTGAATCAAGAAAAGGTTGTCATGATGCAAGAGAAAAACATTATTCGGATGCTGTTACAAGGGAATAATCTTATCAACACTAATTCTGCATACGGTATCATAACTCCTTCACCTCATGAGTTAATTTTTTCATCATCATGTTTTTATTTTTATGTTTTTGTTCTTATAGGTGTTCCTAATACTACACAAAACGCAACTCATATCCACTCACAGTCTGTGTCCATTGAAACCAATTTAGATACCACAAATGATGGAGGAGGCCCATGGGCTGGAGGCCCATGGGCTAAGGGCCCAACTACTAGGGCTATGACAAGGATGATGCATGAAGAGTGGGCCGAAGCCCAAGGAAGGCGCGCCACTTTATTTTGTTGGGCTTTGTCTCAAGCCCATTAGATTAGGGTTAGTGTAGGATTGGGCCTTAGTGCCTTATATTTCTTTTGGGCCTTGTATTTCCGGCCATGTAGCATAGGAATTTCATTTAGAGGTCATTAGAATTTAGGGTTAATTAAGGTTACATGTGAATTATCATTAGCATGTAATTAACTTGGCATTTGAGAGGCATTTCGGCCATGTGCACACATGCACATGGTGTGACTTAAATGCAACTCAAATGAGAAGCTAAATTACATGCCAAATGATGGAGCACATGGAGGTTCCGGGTTTGGCTCCTAAAATTTGAATTTTGAATTCAAATTTTAGGCGCCTAAGGTTAAGTAACCATACCATGGTTTTACTTAAACTTAGGCTAACCCAAGGAACCATTTAACCTAATTTTACCCTATATATTCCTTATGGCCGAGCATTGTATTTACTTTGGATTATATTGAATGAGTATTTCTCACATAGAATTCTCCTTCTCCGAAGTCACCTTACTCCTAGCTTCTACCCTACTTGAGAGCTTCTCCTTGTAGAGCTAGGCCACCATTCTTCTTTGGACTTAGCTTGAAGCAAGCTTAGGTCACCTTGATCCTTTGTGGCGTCTCCATTCCTTGAAGTTTCTCCAAGGAATTCCGTGAAGGATTGAATCATCCATGTGCATCCAAGTGGAAGCACATCAACAAATTTCTCCACACCCATGATTAGCAGGAAGAGAAAACATAGTGAACCAATAAATGACCCTACAGTTGCAAAAAAGCGTCGTGGTAGACCCCCTGGAAGTAAAAATCATGTTCTGTGGACACATTCCTCTCACATTGATACAAATGTATCTCCTACCAACATTCCTCCGATTGTTCCAATATGTAATGTGGAAGCTACTCCCTCTGACATTCAAATAGATGTATCTCCTATCAACATTCCTCTAATTTTTCCAATATGTAATGTGGAGACTACTCCCTCTCACATTCAAATAGATGTATCTCCTACCAACATTCCTCTAATTGTTCCAATATGTAATGTGGAGGCTACACCCTCTCACATTCAAATAGATGTATCTCTTACCAACATTCCTCCAATTGTTCCAATATGTAATGTGGAGGCTACTCCCTCTCCCATTCAAACAAATGTAACTCCTTCAACAATTCCTCCAATTGTTCCAATATGTAATGTGGAGGCTACTCCCTCTCACATTCAAATAGATGTATCTACTACCAATATTCCTCTAATTGTTCCAATATGTAATGTGGAGGCTACTCCTGGTTCGCAGGTCTATAAGAATAGGGCTCACAGGTCCGTAAGAATGGGGCTCTAGATACCAGTTGTTGGTTTTGAGAGACAAGTGCAGCAACAAAAACAAAAACAGAGCACAACAAGAGAGAGAAGAAACAAAGTATGAAGATGAATATATTATCTCTGGAATGAAAATAATGGGAATTCAATTCTACTATTCTAACTGCCAATACATTTATAATGCCTCGCAGAAAAAAAGAAACTAACTAAAGTAACGTGGTTACTTTCTCCTAAAGTCTAGGGTCACTAGGACTAAGTGGTTACTTTCTCCTAAAGTCTAGGACTAATTCAAAACAATAAGAAAAGTAAATAAAACTAAAATAAAACTAAATAAAACTGCTACGTGTGCAAGACAAAATCAAATATCTAACA